GTGCAGAGGATCTCTTTTCTCGGTATGGAGTTGGACTCGGTCAATCTAATAACACGCCTCTCAGTAGAGCGTGCTCAGTCGATGCTGAACTGCATGGAGTCATTTCAGAGCAGGAGGGCGGTCCCACTGAAACAGTTTCAGAGGGTCCTGGGACATATGGCATCCGCTGCCGCTGTCACGTCGCTTGGATTGCTTCATATGAGGCCGCTTCAGCGTTGGCTTCACGACCGAGTCCCGAGATGGGCATGGCAACGCGGCACTCACCGGGTCTCAGTCACCCCGTCCTGCCGCCAGATCTTCAGCCCGTGGTCAGACCTTGCCTTTCTTCGGGTGGGAGTTCCCATAGTGCAAGTGTCCAGGCATGTTGTTGTCTCAACAGATGCCTCTGCCATAGGCTGGGGGGGCATGTGCAACGGGCGTGCAGCATCGGGCTGCTGGACAGGGCCTCGTCTGCAGTGGCATATCAATTGCCTCGAGTTGCTAGCAGTATGGCTTGCTCTGCGCCGCTTAAATCGCTGCTACACGACAAGCACGTACTGGTGCGGGTGGACAATACTGCGACCGTTGCTTACACCAACCACCAGGGCGGTCTATGCTCCCGTCGCATGTCGCAACTCGCCCGCCATCTCCACCTTTGGAGTCAGAAACATCTGAGGTCGCTTCATCTGTTCACGTCCCAGGCAAGCTCAAAAGTGCAGTTGACGAGCTCTCACGCCGGCCCCCCCTTCTGGGAGAATGGCGACTCCACCCCGAGACAGTCCAGCTCATCTGGAGACGCTTCGGGGATGCTCAGGTAGACCTGTTTGCCTCTCCGGACATGTCCCACTGCCAGCTGTTCTACTCCCTGTCCGAGAGGACCTTCGGCATGGATGCGCTGGCACACAGCTGGCCTCGGGGCCTACGCAAGTATGCATTTTCCCCAGTGAGCCTTCTCGCACAGACATTGTGCAAGGTCAGGGAGGACGAGGAGCAGGTCCTCTTAGTAGCACCATACTGGCCCAGTCGGACTTGTTTCCCAGAACTGATGCTCCTCGAGACAGCCCCTCCTTGGCGTATTCCTCGGAGGAAGAATCTCCATTCTCAGAGAGGGGGCAGCCTCTGTCACCCGCGCCCAGACCTGTGAAATCTCCGCGTGTGGTCTCTGGACGGGACGCGGAGGTTCTAGGTGGTCTACCCCCAGCGGTAGTAAACACCATCACTTCAGCTTGAGCGCCCTCTACAAGACGAACTCTACAGAACTCTGAAGTGGAACCTGTTTGTCGATTGGTGTTCTTCCCAGCGGGAAGACCCCGTAGATGCCCGATCGCGCTCTCCTTTCTGCAAGAAGGGCTGGAGCGAAGGCTGTCTCCCTCCACCCCCCAAGTGTATGTACTCTGAAGTGGAACCTGTTTGTCGATTGGTGTTCTTCCCAGCGGGAAGACCCCGTAGATGCCCGATCGCGCTCTCCTTTCTGCAAGAAGGGCTGGAGCGAAGGCTGTCTCCCTCCACCCTCAAAGTGTATGTTGCCGCTATCGCCGTACATCACGATGCAGTAGACGGCAAGTCTGTTGGGAAGCACGACTTGATCATCAGGTTCCTTAGGGGCTCGAGGAGGCTGAATCCTCTTTGCCCCCACCTGGTACCCTCTTGGGATCTCCCCTCGGTCCTGATGGCCTTGAAGGAGGAGCCCTTCGAACCTCTGCAGTCAGTAAAGCTTAAGTTTCTGTCGCTAAGACAGAAACTTAAGAAAACAGAAACAGTGCTCCTCACTGCACTGGCTTCAGTCAAGAGGGTGGGGGACCTGCAGGCATTTTCGGTCGCCGACACATGCCTGGTATTTGGATCCGGGCGACTCTCACGTTGTCCTGAGACCCCAGCCCGGATATGTGCCCAAACAATAGTTCTCTCAAATCTTCCCTAAAGAATTTATAGAATTCAGAAGTGAGGCCATCAGGGCCTGGAGATTTCCCTGAACATAATTTATTTATTGCTTTATCTACTTCCTCTATTTTAATATCAGCCTCACATAAGTCTCTAGTTTCCTGGTCTAACTGGGGTATGCTAGTATGTATATTGTCAAAGAAAATATTACAGTCTGATACAGAGAAGGATGAGCTATATAAAGAACTATAGAATTGAAAAATCTCTGAGGAAATAATTTTAGGGTTGGTATTTATAACTCCATTCACGTAAAGTGTAACCAGATATTTTATAGTATTTTTTCTTGTCGCCTCTTTTCAAGCCTACACAAATAATTATTACTTTTTTCCCCTTTCTCTAACCATCTTGCTCTAGATCTTACATATGCTCCTTTAGCTATTTGAGTATATAAATAATCAATTTTGGATTGTAAAGATAAAATTTGTAATTTAGTTTCATTGTCCATTTCACTTTTATTACATAAATAATTTAATTCTCTCATTAATTCTAACTCCAATTTTGTTCTGGCCTTACTTACATTTTTACTAAATTGTATAGAAAATTCTCTAATCTTGTGTTTTAAATATTCCCATTTACTTATGAATGACATAAGGTCCTTACACAATGCCACATTTTTAACTATGGACTTAATTTGCAAGCAAAATGTTTGTGTTTTAATAAATCAGCATTGCATTTCCAGTAACCCTTGTTATGTGATTCTATTTTGCCCGAGTAGAAGGATATAAAGATGCAACAGTGATCAGTTAAAGGTGCTGCGGATATTAATATATCTTCAATAAAATCAATTAGGCTAGATGAGGTTATCCGTTGAGGTTCCAAGTGAACCGTACCATTACCAAAACGTGACATGTAAACTATGCTGATCACTGACTGGCCAGAGAGAATCGTCACTGCCTGCGTCACTGAACTTGTGACACAGAGACACAACAGAACCACTAGATTTAAATCAGCACAGCCAGCAAAGGATCGAACACAACTGTTTTGAACGAGCGCACCTTTTTTTAACAACCAAAAAATGGTTGTTTCGTTGTCTGTTGAGAAAGTACAGACGTTCCTCTCTTTGATTGCAGAGGAGCGGATCCAGTGAGAGCTTGATAGGGCGACGCGGAATGAAAAAGTTTTTCAGGAGTCGCGGCAGTAGAGGCGGCAGAACTATAAGGACATATGAATAATCCCGCCAACTCTAAAGCGGTACTAAACCGCAATGGAAACGCAAACCGAGCCGTGCCGAGCCGAGTCGTACCACGCAGTGGAAAAGCGCCATAACAAGCGTCTTTTGTAGTGTTGACTACCCCAATCACACGTTGGTGGGCAGAGTTAGTGTAAATAGCCTCTGCCAACAAGGCGGGCTAATAGAGTGGGGGAACTATGACATCACTTTGTAGGCCCATCGGCTGTTAGCATCGCACTGGTTCCCTCGACAAAAAGCCAATAGGATTTTTCCATAGGCTTTTGGATTACCGCAAAAAATAAGCTCTGTGTTCAATCATAGTTCATGAAACGTACACGTTTTGTTCATCAAGATAATCTTCACAAAATAATATAACTTTTATGAATTTTTATGCCAAAATAAAAGCGCTAGAACTTAAAAGCTAAACTTAGGCTAAAAACGAACTACAGCACCACGGTCTCTCGCCTTCAACGTCACCACCACCATGCTTCCCACAACTTTTCAAAATTATTTTTAACACGTTCAATGAAAAGGATTTAGTCTGTATATGAATTTTAATCCACACTTCATGAACCTTTTCATATAAACTGGAATAAATACAAAACTAGAGCCAAACTAGTAACAGCTTCATGTGGCCGTAAACATTTAATTTTAACGTGACTTTAAGCACTATGCATCGTTAAAGTTTCACTTTCAACGCAAATAAGCCAGTAAATGTGGTGTTTACATGGAATAATCGTAATATGAGTTTACCTTATGGTCCGAACCCAAAATCTCTGCATCAGTAGGAAAGCAATAAAACGAGCATCTTCCATCCGAAGACTTGTTGCATTTTGGGGCAAAGCAAAAAAAAACATTGTCGAACAACAATATAAAATGCGGGAAACTATTAATTGGTTATTCTACAATTAACTGTACTATAAATTATACACTACGATTAGAACATACTGTATTTTGATAAACTGTTCGGCATGATGACGTTTAATGTCTCCGACAGCGCCTGTAGTCCCATTTAGCAACTTGTTAGCAACCGTCTTTGAAATGTAACAGTTTAAAAAAAACATGAGTGGGGTGTAACTGGTGTGTTTTATGTCGTAGAATAAAACGTGAACGTTTCTTGAGCTTGTTTGAACCATGGACCTTATTTTAGAGGATTTAACCAAACTACCATTCAAAAAACCCATTGACTCTGGGACGATGGAACTGGAAGTGCTAAAATGCTAACTCGCTTCTGGGTTTTTGCCTACAAAGTGACATCATAGTTCCACCACTCTATTAGCACTTAGTGTAAATAGACACTCCGATAAAAAAATCTGCACACCAAACAAATTTTAAATTCATGATCCATTGCAAAATAGTATTTTACTGAAGATTATCATATAAAGTGACAACAGAACAGCACTTTATATTTATGTTCAGTAAAATAATATTTTTAATTGATCTTGATCATTAAATTTGTTTGGTGTGCAGATTTCTTTTTTTGTTCGTTTGTTTGTTTTTCATGAGTTATACGAGAGACATGAAACTAGCAAAGTTATCTAAATTGTTGCCTGTCACAATGGACAAAAATGTTGACTGGTGAGTGCCACGATTGACCAATCAGAATCAAGTATTCTAGCCATGTAATACAAGCAATGTAATGTGTTGTTGTATACTGGTTATGTGATTCTCTTAGTCACATCAAGTTTGTAAAAATGTATCAAACTCACCAGGGCACAGTACATCTCAGGTGGGTCTCCGCAGGTAATGTTGGGTGGGGCCAGAGACACAGTCAGGTATTTGGTCATATCAGTGGCCTCAGGCTGGCAGGCCATGTAGTGCCAGGCCAGGCGGTCTTCTGCATAAACCTGGGACTTACAAACATCATAGTGCCCCCATGAGGCCGGGTAATGCTGTGTGGCATGACACCAACTCACCCACAGGGCCTGTAGTACAAACACTAGCAGTAAGTACATGGTTGCGCCTTTCTTCTGATGCCTCATTAAATGGAGTCTGATAGATAATAAGCAGGCAGAGGATGATGAGGCAGACCGCCTCTGTGGTAACACTGAACTTTAAAGGGGAAAAAAGACTGGCATCTGTGCCAGTTTTGACTCAGCTTCCTTAGGCCGCTCTAATTTCACTAATTTGTTTCTTTTTGTCTGATTGTGTTGCAGGGGCGCTTGAACGTGTTTTGACAAAGTTGCGGCAAGCGCGGGTCACCGGTGTGAAAGAATGATATTAATTCCTTCTTGAAGCCATTAGTGGAGGCCATTGCAGATCATCCGCCTGTCCATCGCTGTTTCCCGTATGCTCTCAGCAGTCTGTGGGGGATAAGAACAAAAGGAGAGGAAAACAAGAATGTGTCAGCGGAGGAGCTTTCAGGACTAGTGTTGTGCGAATAACGAGGAGCCCGGTGGAAAAGGTGAGGAGGTGCAGGTCAAGTGTTTTCTATAGCTGAGATGGACTTCATAGAGAAATATCCTAAAAATACCTGCTTATTACGGAAGACAAATAGCCAAACATCCCTGTAGGCACAAGCAGACCGTGTAATTCTGCACATCTTTTCACAGTGCAACCCTCAAAAGTCTCTCAGCAATTTGAGATTTCAAGGATTCTGTTCTGAGGCAAGCAGTGGTGGAAAGAGGCCAATATTTTTTCTAGATATAGAAATGGTATGCATACTTCATATTTCATAGACCTTAATGGATTTCATAGACCTTTTAATGTCAGAGACAGATGCCCTTATTACTAGTGCTACACTGCAAAAATTGTTTGTGAGGTGGCCTAAAATGTGCTTCATGCGATAACATAAAAGTAACTGGTTTTATATAAGTAAAAATATTTAATTGGATCCATTTAATATGACTGAATCAACCAGGCCACAGCAGGTTACAGCAAATGAAAATCATTTTTAAGGGTCGGGTCAGGTTGAATTAGCTGTCGGGCTAGTTCACCTAAAAATTAAATTTCTGTCATCATTTACTCACTCTCATGACCAGGGGCTGTCAAGTTCCAAATGTGACAAAAAAGCATCATAAAAGTTTCATCAAAGTGGTCTGTATGATTCAAGCACTGCATTTAAGTCTTCTAAAGTCATTCAAAAGCTTTGTGTCAGGAACTGAAGAGAATGTAAGTAGGTATTCATAAAATATCCCATCTATCATAGCTCTCAAATCTCTCTCTTTCATTTTTAAAATATGCACATAATAAAATTTGGTACATTGAAATCATTTACAACACATAAAAGCAACGACCTGTGGCATTGTTGCCATCAAACCTGGTGTGACACACATTTTAACGCACCATATTTTAATATGCATGTACATTAATGAGATTTGAAAGGTGCACCAGGGGAACAGATTATCAATTAATTATGTTTTTTATAGTGCTGTCAAATGATTAATCGATTTACGTGTATTTACATGTATATATTTATATTCATAATGCATGTTATATATATAAATATATTTAATATATAAACATAGCATATTTTTCTGAAATATATACATGCATGTGTGTGTATTTATATATACATAATAAATATACACAGTACACACACGTATTATATAAACAAAAACTTTTATTTTGGATGCGATTAATTGCGATTAATCTTTTGACAGCACTAGTTTTAATAAATGTCTGCCTTTTCTTCATGCAAAGCTATCATATGGTTTCAGAAGACTTGGAATATATCATGTGCAGTAAGTAAAGGCCTGATCACATCAAGAATAACTACATATAACTATAAAGTTATAATAACTGTTCTAATTCTATGAGAATACTGAAGTCCACAACACAAATACAATGATAAAGACACAGAAGAATGATATCACTGGTATCGCTTGTGGAGCAATTTCTCTAGCTGAGCTTGAGCATTTAAAGTGGCAAATGACATATCTGCAATGCACACTTATAATAAACAGAACATTATCATCCATTGTTGTGGAAGCTAATATTGTTATCTTTATTGTTATTGTTCTTGGTCTTCTTTTATGGTGCTTTTTCACATTTTGGCTTCGAAGTCCTTTGTCACCATTCACTTTAATTATATGGAAAAGAGCAGTATGAACATACTGCTAAATGTCTCCTTTGTGTTCCACATACAGTAAGTCTAGTCCTTTAGAGTAACATTTTCACTTTTTACAGTGTATCAGTAACTATCAATCTTTTAAAATCAATAATGAAAACATGCACACACATTGGCCATACAGTATGAAAAAAACAGGTTTCTGAATGCACTTCTCCATCATATCCATCAAAATAAGGAATCCTTAATGTTGGGGTATGATTGGTTGACTTGATTAGGTCCGTGCCCCCTCAAATAGGGGGACGAGCCATGATAGATGAGACAGAGCAGCCTCTAAATCTGCTTTGTCAATCATGCTGAAGTCTAACAAGGAGCCAATTACCACGTTCAGCCCCTGGCACGGGGCAGGATGTGATTAATAAGACATTACTGTATAGCCGTCAGCATCATGGGTTTCATAAAAAAAATGTCAGTAATAGGACTGAGAGAGTGGTTGCTCTAAAGCACAAGAACAGGCAATAAGTTAAAGGTGGCAGTCATGGATAGAGGGATAGATAAGGTGCGGTCCGATATCACACAAGTGTTTTATCACACTCCTAATCCAGATCCTGTGATTGGGTTACAGTAGAGATGGGAGAGACTTTTTTTCCCCCATGCACTTAACACTAGGAATTTGAGAAGTGTGAGCTTATCAGGCTTGCATTAGAGAGGAAACTAATACATCAGAGGGAGATAACAGAGGAACGAGAGTTTCCTGGAATTTTCTAGAGATGAATGGAGACTGTGGAAGCACCAGCTCATCCCAAATAAAAGGAGGGTCTTTCCAAAATCGGTCAGAAGTGGCTTCCTCGCCACCTTGGTATTGAGATTCATATGTACAAACATTATTTCTCACAACACTGCCCTGTCTTTATATCATCGGCAACAATTTTTTTATTTTTAATATCGGTATTATCTCCATGGCAGATCTCCATATCCATCTTTTATCATTTTAATTATATTGTTGTGATGCTTAAATTCACTTGTTGCCTCTATTTTTATATTATTTATATATATTTTTTTTAAATAGTGCAGAATTGGCCATTTGTCAGTTATCTGTCATAACATCAAAATAAATTAAACTAAATGTTAGTTTTATTTTATTTATTTATTTATTTATTTTATTTTCATAATTTTTTTTCATTATGCAATCTTAAGCAGATCTCAAAATGAATATCCATCTTTCATAATTTCAGTTATTTTATTGATGCCTAAATTCACCTGCAGCATTTAAAAGTATTGTACTAATTGATTTTTCACAAAATAGTATAGAATTGGATATTTGTCCGTTTTCAGCCATAGCATCAAAACAATTATTGACAGAACTGCAATGTCAGTACATTCTAAATCTCAAAGGAATAACTCACCCGAAAAGAAACTTTCATAATTAATTGATGATGAAACCTCAAGTTCCAAACCCATATGACTTCCTTTCTTCTGTGGATTACAAAAGGATAAATTAGATGCTCTTTTGAGGTGAAGATTATAAGTGAATAACTACTAAAATTCAATTTAGTTCATGAGTTCTGTGAAGTACTTTTATGATATTTTAATGGTTATTTTGTGTCTTTTTTCTTGAAAGCTTCAATCGTCATTCATTTTAATTGCATCAAAAAGATCGACCACTACATTCCTCAAAACATTTTATTATTATTATTATTATTTTTCTTTTTGTATTCCACAGAAGAAATAATGCAGGTTTGGAAAGATAAGGCCGAACAAATGACAATCTTTCATTTTTAGTGCAAACTATCCCTTTAATAGGGGCAAATTCCATTTGAAAGATTCTCATAATTCTCTGCTTCACAGAGAGCAACACATTTTTTTACATTGACGCTTGAATCTAACAGCAGAAAAATAAGAGATATTGCTATGAAAAAAGGACTATGAATGTTTTACAAGTATCCCATATGTTCACGTCAAAAAAAAAAGTATAGCGGTGGCTTGGGTATTTTTTTTATCCCTACTTTTTTTTTTCTCAGATCCTCTGAAAACACCCCCCTGTGTCCACTTGTATTTTACTCCCCAGACAACCGAAGCATACCAAAGTGTTTTTAAGTCAGTAGACACTCATGGCACATGGCTCGCATTGGTTACAGCCTCTCAGGTACCCTGTAAAGTCGCTGTGAATACTTCTATTTATTCAATGGTCTTTCCACTAACCTTGTTGTCCCTCAAAGTGTCAATGCTGCTGACATGCCTTGATCATTCTACTTTTTCCCTTAACCCCCTCTGCACTGTTCTCTTCCTCTCAAACACAAACTACCACATGCTTTACATGGTAGCTTTGTGCGCAATGGGACTGGAGCTGTTCAGGTGCTGAAATTGAAACAAGCTCTAACAGCTTTGCACCCTGTAATCTTTTTTTAAGGTTGTGAAGCTTTGTTTTCTGTCAGATTCTGAACTGACAGATTCGCATCTGCTATGGTGTTAATGATATCAGTAAGAAAAGAAGAATCAAGCATATCTGCACTCTTAAAAATAAAGCATCAAAAAGGCGGGTTTCACAGCCATGCCATAGAAGAACCATTTTGGATTCCCAAAAGAACCTTTCAGTGAAAAGTTCTGAAAATAACCATTATTATTATTATCATTATTCTGAAGAACATTTTAATAATCTAAAGAACCTTTTCGACTGCAAAGAACCTTTAGTGCAATGGCAAGTTTCTGTAGATATTTATCACTGAACCATAGAGGCCAATAAAGAAACTTTATTTTAAGAGTGTACATTTCAATTCTAAATCTCTCTCTCTTTTTTTATAAAGCAAGCTGCTAAACTTTGCAGGGAACCTTCACATATCTAAAGTGCTTGGCATGTTCTTCCAAACATGTAAGAATACATCAATCTTTCCATGAGTAATGCCAATCAGCCTGCCGCTTGCTTCCCATCGGACCATATTCACCACATACCAAAAGAACATGCATAATTAAATGCCTCTTTCCTGAAAGGTTTGCATGCTCTGAGACACACAAAGTGACATGAGGTTTAAAGTGCTACTCTCATTCCCATACTGATGTACTGCCACACTACTGAGATCAACAAAGAGTCACGTTCTTCCAGTTAACTCCACTGAAGTAACATATCTGTGTTGAGCTCCAGTTATGAGGGAAACAAATGCCATTTAATGAATAATCATTAAGGGACTGAAACGTGATTTATCTGTAATCTTCCCTTATTAGATTTTTAAATGAAAACATCATATATAGTTATGACATTCATGATTAATGGACAGCCTCTTATTATTAAAAATAAAGTTTTTTATTTTTTTAATGGTGCTTTGCTAGGCTGAGTAAAGACCTTTCTTCTCATTAGCTGTAGGCTTCTTGAGTTTAATATACTGTATGGTTCTTTAAAGATTAATTTAAATGTTTCATTAAGGTTCTTACAATAGTTTCTGAGTTCTTAAAAACACCTACATATTGATAATTTAGATAACTACAGAATAAAAAGGGGCTTTTTAACTTATCCTCCTGATGCAGCAAACCATAAATGCTTTTTCTTTTTTTTTTGCTTCTAATTGAAACCTTTATTTTTAAGAGTGTGAACGAGAAAGAGCAAAATGGTAATAGTTTTTAACTACAAAGCACTAGACAAATAGCTTTCTTTTGGAGACAAAACACTGTTGATCTTCAATGTCTTGACCGCACCTGGAAAGCTCGTGCGCATGAGGAGTGGAAAGGTAATGAAATAATATGAGCTTGTGGTCAAGTTATGCAAATTACAAATTGAAAGTGCGATATGCATTCCTTTAAAACAGAAAGCAAAAATAATGACTATAAGAATAAGTAAACTGTGCCGTTTAGAGGGAAATATAGTTCTAAATTTGGATAAAGACGTTGATCGATTAATGGACAAATTGGAGGTGTCAGAAATAACTAATTAGACAGGAAAAACACCTAAACGATCTCTTCTATAGAAACACGGGTCATATTATACCGAACGTTAAGTATTTATACCTGCCTCAGTTGATTTCCTCCAGATATGCTGAGAAAATACCTGTACATGGATGGTGATTAGACTCTTTTTGCAACATGCGAGCGACAAAAATAACCCACCTTGACAGTTTTCCAGACAGAAAACATCCAGTGAATGAATCCGGTCTTTACTGTTCAGATCATGTCCCAGAAATGTTACTCCACAGCAATTGACTGAATGGAGTGCACAGGTTCTCCTACACGTCTGTCAAATGTTCATCGGCCAGCTGAACATACTTTACTGATAAGAACTCCAGCCTTTGTCAATAAAAGTCATTGTAATGACACTCAGTCTGTAAAATGCGAGTTATTACAGCCAAACCTCCAGTTAAATTCAGCGCTTACCTATCCTGCCCGGGAGAGAACAACTAACCTGCTGAAAGCGATCATCTCCAAATGTAAGTTTGAGGGAATGAAGCGTATTCAAGCCGCGCACTTGAGCTCTCCGCTGGGTCCTAAAGGACCCTCAGCCGCGAGAACATTTGGACATCTGCTTAACCTTTCAGGTACCTATACATGCAGGCTATCTCAAGACCTAGTGAGCTGCATAACTAGGCAACATGTTGTCCATTATGGGAATCACTGTTAAGTTAGGAAGTAGGCTATGTCTTAGGAAAAAATAAATAATCAAAGCCTATATATTAATTTTGCTAAACATATCCAATAGAATAGTCCGTATGAGGAATTTTAATTGCCATTTATTTAATAAATAGCAAATCGCAAAAAGATCTTGATCGTTTTCAAACATGCATCCGCGTGAATTAAATTAAGTGACAGTAAGTCGCTTACGTAAAGCTGTTATTTTTTAATAGTAATTGACGGTTACTGACCTTTCCGATCTCTTACAGAAATAACTAAATATTGTTTTCCGATGACCACTTAGGACTGAAGATGGGGACCATATAGTCTCCTTCCTCGTGTTTTCAGCAGAGTTCAGATCGTGCGCATGTTGAATGAGCAGCAGTGATTCCACATGAGCATGTACATCGACTCCAAGCATTTGAATGATTACTTACAGACTTTTTTCAGTTTTTAGTGCAAATTACCTTAAAGTTAAGTTGAAACGTTTAATTTATTGATACATTTGATATTCAGAGGCTATTAGTGCAACAAGACTTTAACAAACACTGGATTACACAATACAACCTTGCAATTAACAGCAGCGTTTTCTCTTCACACTTTCTCCCTTATATTGCAGTTCAGTGCATTATAATCTCAAATCTTTTAGATCAAATCATACAGCCACACAAAGTAACTCATTAATTGTTTCTCATGTCATACCATTTTGCTTATGCTTTATATTGAATGAGAACTGGGGCTGTCAGACTCCAAAAACGACAAAATGTTCCATTCGAGTCATGCTGGATTCCAAAACTCCAAAGCTTTCAAAACTCTCACATTCAAATTTACCTCAAATTCCTGTGCCTATATGTAAGGCAGATTTGAATGTACTAGATTTGAAAGCTGTCACATGGCATCAGAAGACTTGGAATATAGTGCATGAATCATATGGACATTCATGGTATGTTTCGTCTTTTTTTGTGCATGACAGCTCCAGTTCCCATTCGCTTTTGTTGCATTGAAAATCAAAGAAAATGCACTCTTCTTGATGTATCCTAGATTAAATCCTGGTTAGGTTGCAATGTTGGGGTTGCAGTCAGCCTTAGGAAAAATGCACAGTTTGAATTTGATTAATTTGAAAATCTATTGATGTTCCTCAAGGGGAGTAGTTGTTGTACATTTTAGTATGAGCAAACTCATACTGCGTCATATGAGTTTGCCATCTGTTTAAATGCAAAATATTACAAGTTCAGCATGAGATCACATGAGGGTGGGTTTGTATTCTTCCATTTTCAGGGTGTGGGCAGTTTCTAAAAGAACAAACTGAATTGCAAAGGTTAAAAGGGTACATCACCCAAAAATAATAATTTCGTCAAACTTTATTCATCCTCTAGTTGTTGCAAAACTGTATGAGATTCTTTCTTCTGAAATGTTTTTTTTTTTCTCTCCATATAATGGAAGTCAGTGGTAACCAAAATGTTCCGGTTGCTAATATGCTGCACAACATCTTCTTTAGCTGTAGATCTACAGAAGAAAGAAAGTCTTACATGTTTGGAACAACATGAGAGTGAGTAAATTATGACAACATTTAAATTTTTGGGTGAACTATGCCTTTAAGGAAATGTCAGTTGCCTAGAGTGTTTCCTGTGATATTGATAATTATATATTAAGTTTTCATTATATAATGCTATAGTGGGTAAATGTGTTTATAAGAGAGAGTGAGGGAGATAGAAACAATTGTGTTGTGGCTTGCTTAAAGACAATTGATGTGTACATTTAAAAGAACTGGCTCTAGTGTAAAGTGGAGAATGCTTGTAAAGGCTTTACCTTCGCAATACAAATGACTTTAAAATGCGTGTCTTTGCTGATAGAGATCCTGTGTGATTGTGATCTTGTGTGTGACTCAACAAGCACACATTGTTATTGATTACCTAAGCCATTTATATGCAACAAAGCCCTATAAACCCATTAAAAAGTTGCAAGGCAATTTCCATTCTGATGAAGGGGATTTCGCAGCAGCCAAGTCCTGAATAGCTATTAACATTTGACTGAAGCACACAACTTGGTGAGGGCTAGAAGGTGCAGCCTTTGCTTCCAGCCAGCTTTGCGCTGTACTTGACATTTCTATTACATTTTTGATCACTGAATCAACTTAACCACTACACTAGCTACCGGTCAGCCACATGAGCTCAAGCCCTGCATTTGTGTGGTTTGCTTCGATTGGATTAATAACAAGCTCTATGGATGCTGTCAGCGTCAGTGGTTTGCTGCTAACCATCTATATTTTATCTGATAGCCGAGTCTCTTTTGATTTATTCCAACTGGATTACCTTACTAAGTGACAAGTTTAGCGTGATGTTTGGTTGATTGTGTGGTTGTTTTGTTGACTTGTGCATGCATCACTTACCATAATTCCCTGTTCTTGTCCCGACACCTGTTATGGGGGACTGGAAAGTTTTGAGTCTGTTTGGCTGTTGAGTCTATTGATGGCTTCAAAGAGAAGCCCACCTGCCATGGCTTTTATCAGTTACAACCTCCCACACGATGTAAACAACACAGAGTGCAGTTGAGACATCTGGGAGCTGAATTGTTCTTGTTGCTTCGCTATGAGAAGGACCATAAAACTTCATGAAGACACATCACTGTATCAAACAATGCAGAGCACTACTGTGTCACCGTTCCCTTCCCTAGCAACTGTCTTTATTTCAGTGACTTATGCTGTCAGTTATATTATGTAGTGGTAGTGTATAAGGGTTCCTCGTGTGTCCTTTCAGTAGGGCACTGGAGGGATGCACTCTTATTATTGTCTGCCTTTCCTGTATTAAATCTAAGCCTTTTTTAAAGGTTGTAACCAGGGTCGAAACACTCACCAACAACACTAAATGCTAGTAAAAATAAATAAATAAATAAACTAAGTTGAAAAAAAAAATACAGTAAATAAAAAGTAAACAAAACAAACTTAAAATTATTGGCTATAAACTGAAAAACAGTTTTAGTCAAACTGTGAGAATGATAATCTGACCCTTGCTGATGTCAGGGATTCAAATTATAGACACAAAGCTGTATACAATACAGTCTCTCACAAACCATTTAAGTATTATTTATATACTATAATAGTTTTATTAATATTTTGAGTAGTCGGCTAGTCGCCAAGGCAGCATTTCTCATTTTCATTTATTTAAATGATTTTATCTGTTATTTATGTTATTTTATTCCAGCCTTATTTTAATTAACAAAAATGTTTTTAATATTTAAAGTTAAAAAACAACACTACCCACAAATTGTGACTTTCACCTCAGTATAAAATTGATGATCAAAGATAAAGTTTAAAATCTATCGATCTATCTATCTATCTATCTATCTATCTATCTATCATCTATCTATCTAATAATGCAAATCACAGTTCCATAGCTAGTCAAAAACATCTATGGCTGGTGAATTGTTGGCATTGACAGGTGTGGAAGAAAAATGTGCTTCCTTGCTTTAACTATGACATATACTCAAGAGAAGTGATATGAGGATATCTTATTTTTGTCTTCTTTTTCATGCAGTGTAACTGATCTCGTTTTTAGAGTGGAATCAGAATAAAGTGGTTGTGAGCCGTCTGACTCTGTCTGGTGAAGAGCAGGCATCATGCCCATCTCCCAGGCACCTGAGCCATATTGCCTGCTATGATGGATGGCATCATTCATTTTAATGAGCAGAACATTTTAGCACTCACATTCCACTAGATCCTTTCATTAGGGACTTGTTTTATGGCAGTAGCTTTATACCTCATGCTCAAGCTCAACTTTAGTTTCATTAGCTCTTAAAATTTTCTTTCAGTTGGTTTCGGGTTTTGTCACATGACTTCTAGCAAACTCCATGTGTAACTTAAGGTCAGCCTTTTTTGAGAAGCTTCCTTGCAGCCATTTTCCCACAAAGGTAAAAATCTGTGAGGAGTGCTTCCATTTTGCTACAAGAAAGTTTTAGAGATGCTCCAGTTCTTAATAACATTTTCTAGGTTTTTTTCCCCATGACAGCAGGAGTGATCTGATTTTATTTATTTATTTTTATTTCTGAGGTCTTGCAAAGTGATATTACCATTCTACCAAGCAACAGAACACATGTCGTTTCAAAACTTTCTTTCTTTCATTTGTCTTTTAATTTGACAGGGCGAAATGAAAAATAATCAACATGGGGTAAATATTTCTGAAAGAACAATACAAAGCCTATATTCTCATTGTTTAAAAATGCCTTTTTATTTTCACTTTTTATTGTGAAACTAAAGCAGAAAACTGAAAAGTGCAATTTGTTCTTTGAAGTGACCATATCTCACTCAGACTCAGCAGCACTCATCATTTAAATGGCATGAACAATTGACCTTGAATGGGCATTACTTTAAAAGAACCAAAGTACTTGAGACAATACAAGCATTATAATAGGTGGAATTAAGTGGATGTCACCAGCGTAAATAATGAATGAAGACGCCACAGGGGAAGGCTAATTGTAGAATGCATTTGCTGAAAAATAGTGGGTTTTTGCCATGCTGCACACAGAATGGAAATTCAACAAGCCAATAATATATTTAAACAATGCCCATGAGGTCCGTGAGTTGTGGTTTCATCTCTCAGTGAAATTAATCTTTGTAGATGCATATGTGATCTATGGTGTATGTGATGTAACCAGATAAATTGGTTTTCGGTAAACGTAAAGTGCAAAGAATGCAACTATACAGATGTAAACTGTGGAAGATTGAAGGAAAATATTACAAAAAATATTTGAAATTCTTAAGAAGGCAGCCAGTTGTCATTTTTAAGACCAGTAAGAGAGATACATCATGTAGCTCACTGGACTTCATAATAACAGCA